TTACAGTCACATCATAATCAGCCCCTCATTTATAGAATGTTCACTTTGTCTGGTTTTGTTGCAGTCTGCCCCATATAACTAATTAATCGAAGGTCTCGCCACGTAGATTAATCGTTGTAATAAAAACCTACCCAATATTAACTAAAAGTGAGTATGTGGATTGATGATCGGCAGAAAGTCACGTTTTTCTTACCTCGTATCGTTTTGTTTGTTTATGGCCTCCTCATTGATATGTTAATGAGGAGGCATACGTTGCTCTCTACCAAACTTCAGATATACTTTTGCAATTAATAAACTAGTGAAAGTTAAAGTGTTGATGAAGAGCAAAAATTGAGATAGACAAGAGATGAATGAGCAGTTTTGTAAATTTATACGTGTATTTTATCTTCACAAATACAAAGGCTTTCTTTGATACACACACTTACGGCGGATAAATCGGATATGCTGGTCATGTACAAGTGAGACTTGCTGAAATTTTAACCGAGTTTTATCAATGATCGTATTGATACATATACTACTAATACTTTATATGTTAATAATTTGACTATGATAGTTTAAAAACATTCGCTTGGCAACCAGTGCTTGATTGTAAGCACTCTAAATTTTGCATAATTGCTGGTTATAAAGGAGAAATGTAAGTGCGATTTAAACTTTGATATTAATATTTATGGGATTTTTGTGACAAGCGTAATTGTTTAGAACATGTCTATCAGAATTTTTTTACGCCAGATCAGTTTCTACGATGAGACTCGCTTATAATACGGGAAAAATGCGAACAATTAGATTACGCGAATTTTGTCTGCATAACCTGGAACGTGATTATTGGCTGCCGGTTGAGTTCGATAAATAGGAACAATTAACCATATTTAAATCCAACGTTAATTGAGACAGATTATAAACAATTATCAACGTTAAATAATCAGCTTGCATAGTATATTCTCTATGGCATATGGACGGCTCACCCTTTTGCGTACACGCTCAGAACATAAGTCAGATAAATTCTCAGTTGAATTGTCTAATTTCCAGTCTACTTTTCTTTTTTCTGCCACTTGTATTTAAACTTTCAGATTTCTGTAAATATGGATATGGAAATATTTGTATTTTATTTGCATTGGTTATGTCCTGTTCCAAAATGTAATATGGTTTGGCGTTATCTTTGAACGTTCACTAATATAAAAATTAGCTGAAAAAATCTGGGTTTACAAGGCACTACAAACTTGGCATTTTACACGTATTCACAATTTGTCACATTATATTCTGTACGGTTTATCATAATAGAACTTTCTCTATTCAATCAAACTATCCTACCATATCTTTCTTATATGTATAGTAAACGAAACGAGCCCTCCATATATTTATAACCGCAAATAATAGTCCCTTTGTGCGTGATATACTAAATTTAACTATAAGCGGTACGTGTTTCGTGCATAACCCCGCGCCAATATGCATAAACAATGGCAGATAAGTCCCCGTTTTCGCAATTTTTTTCCATATATAGAGACGTTAACTTGACCCAAACAAGGAAAGAATGAGCAATACAATTTTAGTTATTGGAGAGCAAAAAGACAAAAACAATGGTTTGAAGAACAAGTGTTTTATAAGATTGGCTATAATAAAGGCGAATAATATGTAAAATGTGGATACGTATGTTTAAAAGGTGTCACCAGCGTTCATGTAAAACGATTTAAGAGTCACAATCACATTGAAAATAACTACAGCTCATCCCTCCGCTTTGTATTCCCGTTTTGATCATTAACTGATCGGGAATCAGTTCAGTTTATTTCTTGTTGGTTACTTTAACTAATGACTTTTGTTTCATCTATACGCATATCGCTTTTAGGTCATACGTGCGTTTTAAACAGTCAAACTGATTAGCTTAAGAATCCATCCGATAGTTCTTATCGTCAAAATCTGCCCCCTTCCCATTATATGGCGGAGAAGGTAAATAATCTGATGTATTTTATGCTGTTGTTTATCAACTTAACCCCTATAAGCTTTGTCCAATAATATCCAAGAACAATTTACTATAAATTACATAGACAAGTTCAAATATTCATCTACATATACATCAGAATGTCCAACAAGAGACGAGATAACACTAATAAAAGAACGTTTCGTGCTTTCAGTGGCGGTCGCAACTCCCAAGACTGCAGCCGGTCAAATAATTCTCGTCCAAATACGCGAACGGTCGGGAACTTGAACAGTGAACAATACTATGCGAACGCGTGTTTTATGACGCCTTTCCAATACCAAAACGCGTATCTGTACGGACTTCCTTATGTTCAGTATAGCACGTATAATGGAGAAGAGTACCTAATTGCAAACCACATAGGCCAACTTCCGTATCCAGGACTCTACCAGCAGCCACAAACACATATTACTCAACGACGCTTTCCTCTGAATAGGACAGCTTCACGAACACCAAGACGACACAAGCCAAAAACCCGAGGCTCAATGAACAGGCTTCCCGAGTTTGTACTGGCAGCTATCCTCGAAGAATTTCTCACGTATTCACTTCCACTATCATATGGACAGTCATGTGCTGCATTCCTTGGCCTTCGTCTTGTCTCACGTGGCTTCAATGCGGCGATGTTGACTGTCATATGTCAGTATATTTCTCGCATATTACGATTGCGATACGACATAAGTCCTAAATTTAAATATGATACAGATGATCGATCGGTAATCTGTACGGGTCAATTGATTCCACAATTTGTGTGTTTGATCCGGTCAAGCAAGAATAATCCATATGTTTGTATCAGTTGCGGATATGTCAGTTGGTTTGCATCGTCCGTACCTACACGTGATCGGAATAATTGTGGGCGAATGTGCTTTGCATGTTTCAAGCCTTCGCTATACGATAGGATGACATCCTCTAGATTTATAAAGACTACTGGAGAGCTAGTTGAATTCCGCAAGCAGTATATGAGCGAGTTGGCTGATGATGAATGGGTCAGCGAATTGCCATGGGTTTGGGATATTAACGAAGATGGGCAATATACCACATGGATGTGTTATCAGCGATTGAAGGAATTTGTCAAGTTCTTTTACTCTGACAAGGCTGAATTGATTACAAAAGGCGATAATTGGGTCATCGTCTGAAGTTAGCGGACAAAAGATAGATCATAGTCTTGAATTATAATTAGACAAATTAAAATGAGTTGTTTGTGTATTTTAATTTTAGTGATTATAGTGTATTTTCTTAATGCGTTGCGTAATATATGTATAAGTAAAGAAGTGTTTGTCATCAGTGGAAAAACAAGCTTGTCTTTCTTTTTATATCTGCCGTGTTGGCTTGGAGAAAGCGTACGCATAGTTGAGACAATTTCAAAAGACAGACAGCACGATTAGATACAGATGATATGGCAACAAAGGAAACCGCAACTTTATCAAACGTTAACATGAATATCATTGTTTTCCAATGCTGATTTAATCGTTAAAACTAGCCGTTCGCAATATTTTATTTTTATTTTTTTAATCTTTAATGATTGATTTTAAATGTCACTAACCATATAAAAGAAAAGGTGTCTATAGCAGGAATGAAAATTAAAATTGTCCAATAAACATAGCAGTTTGCTTAATTTAAGTAGAAAGAAAAAAGAAAGAAATAAAAGAAAGCAAGAAGTAAAATGAAAAGAAAAAACTAAAAGAGAGAGACAATAAGCGTTGACTAAGCCCCCTACTAGCCAAATGTACATATATACACATAGAGAATTCATCTCGTAAAAGACAACCAAAGCCTCATGATCCCTAGAACAAATGAGGTAATACCGTATCATCCCATTCATCGCTAACCCAATCACTATTTAGTTCCATAACCCTTGCTTCGATCTGACTCTTCTCAATGACACTTCTAACCATGTTCTCGTAAAGCCAATCCAGCACTGAAGCTTCCGTAATACTATCAACGACGGCATTTGAAAGTTCGTCCTCAACCTCTGATGATACAGTTGTCTTCATATTTGGCATTTCATCGACGCTTTCCTTGTCCTCAACAGCTACCTCCGACTCGAGAGCCTTTTTTTCGATAGCCAATTCCGGGTATAACAGCACCGCCATATCGTTAGGCGGTATGGCACATACTGCCTCGGTGAACACTGTTGTCATTCGTTGTGCCAACGTGCAATATGCAGTAAACACTAACATGGCCTGTTGGAGCATGTCTGCATCCAACGTATCGATAATGTCTTTATTATATCCTCCGATGGATGTTCTATACCAGAAATTGTCCGTGTATGGTGTTTTTGGTTCAAACATATGCTTGTCGAAGTGCAGTTCGGGAATAAATGCAGTCTGAACACGCACGCCTGCACCCTGCCATTTTGGCTGACCGTTGGATGCTGTTGCTGGTGCGTCTTTGTTGACATTCGGAATGAGATAGTTCGGTGAGGGCGATTGATGGGGTTGAGGCGTTATAGTCTTTCCACGAGTATGGATAGGGGTATTGTCTTTCGATTGCACAGACGATGCTGACGTCGGCGGCGGTGATGGCGGCGATTTAAGAACAGATGGCTGGCAGGATGAGACTTTGCGTAGTTGTTCTACTTCTTGCGTTAATTTCGAGTTTTCTTCTTGAAGAACTGCAAGCGCTTGTTTGAGCACATTTATCTCTTTCTGCTGTTCTTGGTTAGTCGATTCCAAGTTTTGTATATATTCTAATAACGAATAATAAATAAAAGTAAGTAATGCAAGAAAAAAGCAAAGTCAAAATAAATTAGCAAACAATCAGATAATTCCAATGTTACCTTTTCTTCGCACTCGGAAGTTTCTGGCAGAAATTTTGTTACGTAGTTGACGTCTTTCCTTCGAAGACATTTTCTTCATGTCTCCTGGCATGTCATTACTGTCCATAGAAAAACTTTTACCGGCAGCCATTGATGACTTTGAAAGCTCAGCTTTTTGTGTGCTAAGAGCGGGTAGACTAACGTTTACTTTACTGTCAGTTGCTTCTTGTTTGATTAATGGGAGTTTAGCTAATAACTCGGCTAACTGCGCGTTCAATACAGCCAGCGAAGGGACTGTGGCATTAGTAAGAGATTGTTGCTGAAGATCATTAATATCAGAAGCAGGAGTGATGGGTGTAATAGGAGTTATAGGCAGATTATACTTGGTATAATCCGCAGCTGATAAAGTTGGACTGACAGTGAGAGTAAAGTCATTTTGGCCATCCCCAATTGTAGATAATAGTGGAGATTCATTGTCCTCGTTATTTTCGGAATCCTTGCTCATTTCTCCTTCGAGATAATAACGAAAGAGATCTGAAGTTGACATAGAACCGGTCTCCATATCCTCATCCATGATATCATTCTTCAAATATTCCACGTTGATATAAGTATTAAAAGCATCGTCGTTGTTATAGAAATCAATTTCTCCATTCTGCTCAGGCGAAGTCATGATTGAAAGTGTATTACTGCTGCGTAACTTGTACTGAGAGTTTTTTATCGTGTCAATTGGGAGATGAGTTAGCGTAGCGGCTATATATATATTTTTTTGCTGGGTAAAAGTAGAACGACTTGAGCAAAGGAAAAAGGGAAACAAAGTGGAGAAGAGCTGTTGGGGCTATTTATTAACATATTAAGCAACCAATCATATTGATGACTCGTAAGCGCCCGCCTTGGAAAGTCTAAGAACATATTTTCCGGGGTATTGTGCATCCGATACCGATGAGGGTCGTACATTGGGGGGGACTGATAAAGCCCAAAATCGATTACCGGTAGTTATTTTTATTTTATAATGGGAATAGCAAGGAATGCATATTTCAATATTTTCGTGGGAAAACAATTAAAGAAAAGTCATTCTTGGCCATTGATCTTGGCTCTAATTTGTTTTTTCATACTCAAGAACTCTTACCACTTTTCTAATCTTCGGTCCGTCGAATGAGCGCAAAATTGTTTTAGCGAACAGCGATGTACTAATGTGGAAAAGAGTGAATAACCCCGCAGTAAATTTTCCGAGCTTGCTAAATACACGCAGCAATACTGTAACAGTGCATAAACATGGACATTGTCCACCTCGATACGGACAATTCTCTGTGATCAACGTCCTCGTGACGGGTCTGTCCGACGTGTCTCGGCATACTATGCAAACTTTTCTTCCCGAACGCTTTTTGTCCGGTCAGAAGACTCGTACGATTTACTGCGTCTAGACTATTAACACGTTTATGATTCATATTGGTTTTCCGTTATAAACAATGAAATTCCGAGTTCGACTTTATAAAGAGCTGTGACACTGCGTATAAAAGCGAGTGTTGTCTATACGTTTTTGCTAATATTGCAGCTTTATCATGCAACCATCATGCATTAGAAAACTAAGATAGCAGCTTCACTGTTATTATTCCGAGGAATTATAAACAAATCACATACCGTTTACTATTACGCGTAGCATATAAGTGCAGTGCTACATTTAAAAAACGACTATTTTATACTAAAAATGAATTCAATTAGCACAAAGGATAAGTATATAAAGGACAAGTTTCTCTTCATTTCTAAAATATTTTGTATTTTAGAAAAATTAGGATGAAGAAGCATAAAGCCAGTGTGCCACATAATCAAAAAAGGACTCTGCAAAATGAAAATAATACCGTAATCTTAATACAGGGCACGTTTTGAACGAACCAGTCAAAATGAACAAGTGTATTTCGGATAGATAAACGTTAAACCTGTATCATATTTTAATTTGCAATTTTTAATTATTTAAATAACTCTAAATAATGAGTGTGTAAGAAATCCTAAATAGTAGCACAGTGAAACGTCTTTTATGCCGGTCACGGAATCTTGGCCAGTATAAAAAAACCGATAATACTCCCATGGGAAGAAAATATAGTAAAAACAGTGTCCATATCAAGTGGTTTCACTATAGTCTGCTTTCATATTCAGGCCAAATCTTTATCTGAACTGGTTAGCTGTTCTGCAATACTGTTATTATTATTTTTTTCAACTGCTCTCTAGTCTGTTTAAAAAGCTAAATAGTCCGCACTAATTATCGTGCAACGCGTTGTTACAACTTCTTCAAAAGATAATTTTTTAGAGAAGTGCTCCTCGTGTAATAGTCTTGTACATTAATCTTTGCTTTATTCGCGTTCGAAATTCCGCCTTTTCCTAAATAGTACGTTCATTTGCTGCACGAAAAAAGCAGTTGTTTCAAGTTTATTACAGACGTCCAACGCAATTTCTATTCCTGTTCGTTGACATCACTCGAAAAATGATCTTCATCGATAACAAGACAATGGCCGTTTGTCTTCAAACGTTGTACAACTTTTTTTTGAAACACCATACAAGAACTCTTTATTATCCCTTTAAGGTATTTAAGCGTTCAATAATCATGTAGATTTTTATGTATCTAGGATCAATTCTTTATTGTAATGTCTCGTTGATTCAAAGATACACTATCAACGACGCTTCCTTTCACTTTCCTCCCCCAAACAGTTCTTTCATTATCGCCTTCTAAAATGTTTCAATTTCATTCAACTGGACAATCTGCTGAGCCTTGAACACTTGATGACTTCAATGATAAACAATGGGATCGTTATAAATTGTTACTCTATTCGACTAGCTCATGTAAGCTTGCCTACCTCATCATCGGGAATATCTTTTACCTCCGTCAGTATTACATCTTCGAGTTTTTCTTCTGTATTTTCGTAAGTATATACCTTGACGCACCCATCTATATAGCCAAGATAAAACATTGTGAGCTATTAACCAGTAGCATACACATGATAATAAATTCTTACCATCAGCACACGTCAACAACAGGGGCTTCCATGGATGACAAATCACATCGCGTACTTCTAGTTCTGAATCGATGAGTTGTGGATTGATTTCTCAGTACGAATCAGCATGTTAGAATCATGCTCATCTATGAACGTCTAAGAAATAGTCACCCTCGTGATCGTGCAGAACTCCTGTAAGAGCTCCCGTTTGTAAATCGAATATGAGCACCTTTCCGGTGTTGGTTGGAGCCAAAATATAACGACCATTTGATGTGATCTTGATCAACCACGAGTTTGACTGGTATCTATTAGAGTCCCGGCAAAAAAACGGTTGTAATCGTTTCTCGCTTACAGAGCATGACTTGAAAACTGGAAATATATTGACACGTACTCT